TTCCTTGAATCCCAAACCTCATGAGTTCTGTAGTTGGTGGAACTTTCAAGAAAACCTTTTCTCCTATTTGAAATTCTAGATCACGCCTCCAATTATCAACATAAGTCTTTTGTCTACTTTAAGCTATACAAAAACATTCTCTAATTAGTTATATCTTCTCTATGGTTTGCTAAACAAGTTCTAGTTCTAACATTCTCCTTTTTCCCACATTATCCCAACCTATTGGGGACCTACCTTTCCTGCCATCTCAAGTCTTATAAGGTGCCATCTGGATACTTGCCTGAAACCATTATTGTAAGCAAACTCAACTAAGGGCAAATGTTCACCCCAACCACCTTTCAAATCTAAAACACAAGCTCCCAACATGTCTATGGACAACTCTCGATATTTCTTTTTCATTTCCTCATCCAACTTTTACGTTGTTTCCCTTCTCGTTATGGTACCCTACTATAACTTCATAGGAGTTATGCCATGCCTTCTTTACAATTTCCTCTTCAATCATCCTCCTCAAGTAAAGGCAGTCTCATGGTTTCTTAGATTTTCATGAATGACTCATCAATCAATCATAAGACCATATGGGTACCAAAAATTAATCTTTGCATAACAACTTAAATTAATCTCACTCCAATTCATGATCACAATTTCTAAACTTTGCTAAGTCATAAATTAACCAAAATCATTTACCACTATTCAAGGAAATAATTCATCATAATGTTAAACCTCAAGCCTTAATTTCACTAAACCTTCTTCGTTAATTCCTTAAAATCACAAGATAAATTAAGTGATCAACACAATAATCCTTCCTATTTCCTTATCATATTACTCCACTAGTCTATCCATTGACATAGCAATATTGATATGAAGAAAATCAACAAACTTAATCAACCTATTAATGATAACCAAATTCACCATCCTTGAATGAATTATTACCATAATTCTAAAGAAGCACCATTTTAAGTCATGTCTCCAACTAATTTCCTTCCTTGGGCAAATCATTATTCTACATGTGTATTTCTAATGTTCTTTATTAGCTAAGCTACACTTACAAGCAATTAAGAATTTACTTGAACATGCTCATAATCTAACTTTCATATTTATCTAATCCCCTCAAAACAACTCCTTTTAGTAACCGAATATGATAAACTATATAAGAACTTCCTATTCAAAGATTTTGCAACCTTATTAGCCTTACTAAGATAACAAGCAATCATCATATCATATTCCTTCAAAACTCTAATCATTATTTTTATGTCTCATATTCACGTCTATCTAACAAGAGAGACTTACTCTTAAAATTAGTAAAAAATTTCCAAATCTTTCACTATACAGGTAATTCCTCAATATATATATAAAATTTATTTCCAATTTAATAAACCACACTCTTCAATAGAAAATAGTCCACACTCAAAATGCTTGATCAACCTTCATCTCATTTCATTATAAAATATTCTTATTTTTAAGACACAATAACCAAATAAGATTATATAAAATACACTGAAAAGGTAAAATAAATTTTAATAAAATAAATCTTCTAAAAGAATACTAGAGGGTATAATAACTTATCTTGAATAATTAATCAATTTTTCACTCGACACAACCTCTGAATTATTTAAAACTTATGCACTATCTTTTTTGTTAGAATTGGAAAGATCTACAAATTGCAGGCTATTATGCTAGAATCGAATATGATAGGAAATAGAGTCTAAAAAATTCTCTCAATTCCACTTTCAATTCATATTCTTAATTATAAAATTAAATCTACAAACAAAATCAGCACATAGTTAAGAAACTTACCGTAAAATTTCCTCAATTCAACTAATTCGACAACTAAAGGACAGAAGCCTCACCAACGAGGGGTTGGATCAAGTGGTAAGCGGCTTGTTCCAGCTTAAACAAGATCTCGAGTTCGAGACCTTGTGTATGCGGCAGCTTCCGTTGGGAGGCTCACCCACTATTTTCAGGTGCGCGACACGGGTCGATCCGAATTAGTTGGGGCGAAACCTCGAATACCGAAAAGGAAACCGAAAAAAAAAAGGACAGAAGCCCCTTTTTATTTGCTTTCAAAGGTGGGCGACGATGCTTTCCAAAATGGGCGGCAGCATTTCAGAAGTTTTGCCAACACCTAGCCGGTTTCCTATTTAGGTTTTAGTAAAAAAAGTTATAATTCTTTGGTTAGTCCTTTCACTCTTGATTCCTTTATAGTCAAACCCCTTAATTTCCTCTCCTTACATTTAAATCCTTTAAGGGCTTAAATAAAATTATTATAAAAAAAATAAAATTAATTAATTAATACCGAGTATTACATGAGGGTTATAGAAATCTAATTTTGAAACCTTGAGAAATTTGAATTTGCCAATAAAGATTGAAGCGAGAAATAGAAGAGATGACTTAATGTTTTTGGTTAGCTGTGTGCCTTGATAATCTTATCTGCAATCTTAACATTTGGATAAGCAAATTCAGCGCCAATCACTCTATTTGATCGAACATCGCGTGAGGAAGAGGGATCTTCGGGTATGGATAAGGGAGGCGGCGAAGAAGGGAGTTAATGGGAGAATGGGTGTTCATGTGGTTGAGATTTACCTTCTCTCCAACAATTTTTTTCTTTTTGCCGATGAGATGGAGAAGACAAATGGATGAGAGTAGTAGACTGTGGCTGGGTTTTCAGGTGGCTGATTTTATTTCCTAAATTCACAGCAATTCGTCTGCGGAAGAACCGATGATCAAGATTGATTAGGGGTAGTTCGGGGCAGTTCTTAATGGCGGACATTAGGGATAGGCCATGTTGATAATTTTTTTTTTATCATATTTGCAGGATGGGGTAGTCATCTCATATCTCTTATCTCAATTCACCTGTATATTATGTGAGTTAAATTTAATATCTATTATTTTCAGTGAAAAGAGATGATTAATTAATTATTTAAATAGTTTACGTCATGTTGATAATTTTATTTTAAGCACCACAATTCTATATCAACATAAATTATAAAGAAATTAAGACAATAAATTAAAGTGCTTTAATTTATATATTTCTTAATAAATATACATTAAAAACTTAAATTCATTATTAAAAAAAAATTCAATAATTTAAAACCTTTCATTCGCAAAAAAAACTCTAAACACCCTACCTTCAACGTATAAAAACTCTCAATATGTCCAGGGTAGTTTCTAATGGCGGACACTAGAAGTAGCGCTCATGCCCTTATGTCTTCGGCTGCAACGTTGGGATCTTCGGTCACCCATGGTGAACAAGTTAAAGAACAAATTCGCTATTCAGGGGAGCCGTCCA